ATTTAAGTGTCAGCACACTTTAACTCGTGAGATCTGCTACTTATTTCACAAGTTAGAAATGTCACATGTGATGGTCTAACTGTATTAACGATATCCGTATCTTGTTATTACTTACGACCATGGTTTATTCAAGAACCAATCATACGTAATTTGCATCTCACAATCACAATTCTTTGTGATTAACAAATCACTTAAACTTGGATCTTCGGATTCTATTATTTAATATTATTTATCACAAAATTAATTTAAATAAATAATAGATCTTGTCAAATTAAATGCATTAAACATATTAAAAGTGTTTACATCCTAAATCGATTGGATCTAGGGCAGGTCAAACTTTAGACGGCTGAACTTTGAAGGCTTCTATACCGTTATTTTGGAGAAGGATGACGAGCTTGTTGCAGCGGCTTCTATAAGGTTATTTATAATTGATTTTTATACCCTGCATTGCCTAAAGAGTATCTACTGATACTTCATTTTCCAAGACAGATGTAACGATTGACATTGTTCTATATTATTAGATAGTGCGATTTATGTGCGTTCCCTACATAATTGAATTTCTTACTTATTATGGTTGATATTCCTTCAAGTTATCAAAATGTAAATATGTTGTCCAGGCTTGTTTTGAAAACAAAAGGGTGGAAGCTTAGTTAATGAATTTCTTTTTTGATCGTAATGCCATGGCCCTTTGTAGTAATTTCTTGCCAATTATGTGGAGATTAGCACGTGTTTTCTGGTCTTTTGTTATTTATTTAGTAAAGGGTTAAAATGCTTAGTTTTTGAATTATTCAAGTCAAGATATCTATGCATTGTGAAGCAAATGATATAAAGTGAGCAAGGACACGAGTATGGGTGGTTGCTATTCATTTGATGATAATAATTAGAATTCTAGTTGGGTTATTTACTTTAGAGCCTGTTTGAGAGTGATTTTGAAAATTGATTTTTTTACCGTTAGGAAAAAAGTGGGGTCCACCTGTGAGAGAAGAAGTCAAATATGACTGCTGGAAGTGAAATAACGGTCAAAAAAATCAATTTTTGGAGGGAAAAAACATTCAAACAGGCTCTTAATAATAAAAAGGGATTGCAAACTTAATTATTTGATGACCTAAAATGATTCTCCCCATTTATCACCCCATCTTGTCTTCCTGAACCAATAAAGGATCTTGCATGCTTTTATGTATATAATATAAAAAATTATTTACTCTTGTAAGTTTTAACTACTATGTCAAATGAGATTACAAAGACAAACAAACACTGAAAAATTGTTTGTAGCAATCTAGATTGAAGATATAGAAAATTAGATTTGAGTATGTTGAAGATATAGAAGAAAAAAGGGCTAATATAGTAGATACTAAAGGTCTAGATGGCAGAATTAAATGCCACAAGCATCTGGGCATTGTGTGGGAAGTGCTTCTGAATTGATCTCATCTTTTAAGAATTTTCATTTTTCTTTGTTGATTAATAACTTTATCCTTAAATAAAAAAAAAGAGTGTTTTTTGGGACTAATACTTTTCGTTTCCCATCTCATGGAAAACCCTTTTCACTCCGCTTAGCCTTATCTCCGTAGTGGATCTTGAAGTACTATTTCTGCATCCCCCTGACCAATGCCTGGCTACTAGGATTTCAATATTGCGCAAAGATTTCCAGGTTTATTCTCTCCTATTCATATCAGTTGGAGAATTGTTTTATCTGTCCAATATTATCTATCTAAAGTACAATCTTTAATAGCATCTTGCTACAGGTTTTGAATACTGAAAATATTTGTCCAATACTGGTACATTTGGGGACAGCTATCTATTGTTGGAAAAAAAATTAATTAGTTGCAATAGTGATTTGAACACTATAATGCGGAAATATAAAACTTATCGTCCGATCGAGTCTCGTGACAGCACGATGTCCTAAAGTGAAATTGCCCGTCAATAATTACTGCGACCTCCGTGGACAATCACTCCCAGGATATAACGATCATAAACCACTTGTGCAGCAATCACGAATGATTTTTCTAGAACTCTCAATTGTACTCCAGAATAAATATAAAACCCGAATATAAGAAATTCAGAATGTGGAAAGGAGGGTTGATGCAAGATGATTTTTCTATTGTCTTTTTGTGTGTGTTTTTCCCAAAACGAGGTATGAGTTTATATATGCAAGATGGTAGTAACAGTCTTTACCATGTTAATGCAGAATTTTAATGACTGAGTAGTGAGTATTTTAATGGCTGTTAGTGGGTTATTACAAAAACAAACAGTCAGAAAATACTGGCTAATTTTACCCATTAAATAATAAAGAAAAAAAATATTTATTTTAATTAAGGAAGCCCAAGAGCCCAACGCCCCAATCAAGACATTTTAATATCTGCGTGTGGAGTGACTCGAACCCCTGACGTCCCATACAAATGTCACATTTCCCACCACTTTGACACTTTATCTAATTTGATTATTTTTTTTCACATTTTATATTTATACCACAAATATATAACATCTATAGATAGAACATTATTCAAGTCTACAGAAAATTAATATGAGAACATAAAGTCAAACATTGGGCTAATGACTGACTTATTTTTTTTTTTTTTATGACCATGGGTGTTCGGACCAGCTCACGCGTACCTCGACTAATCCTACGGTGCTTTGAAATTTACAGTCGGGTACTCACCTCAATGGCCCTGAAGAGACTTGAACTTGTGATCATTGAGGAGCAAATCCAAAACCTGACCACTGAACTACCCCTCAGGGCTAACAATTGGAATTTATGATGTTTGAAAATAGGATCCATGGAAGTTGGTTAGCAGAGATGCCCTTCATTGGAACGCATTATACATATAGGCGTCAAGGATTGTGCAGGCGGCTTCTAACAGCTATTCAAATGGTATATTTTTATTTTTTCGTACACAATTTGATTGATGCATGATTTACTATGGTACTTGTCTTGGGGTTTTATTTTGATACCATATTCTTCAATAAGCTGCCATGTTTTTGGCCTAGTTTGTATGCTGGGAGAAGTAATTGAAACGTATCATAGGCTTATCCATAATTAATTACAAAAGAGTGTTTTTTGTTTGTAATCTTTATTAGTTTAAAGACAAAATGTTCATAAGATGAATGAGTGGAAATGAGGATCGTGTGGTGGATAGTTCTCTTACTAGAATGAACAAGATAAGTGGAGATATCTCCAATTGAGGATAAATTAAAGTGAAACCTTAGATTGTTGGGACATGTTTTTGTAATCTACAGACTGTACATAGGAGTGACAGGATCTTGTTATTAAAATAGTCTTTTGTGCTTGTTAGGAACAACCAGATTACATATAGATGGAGATTGTACACATTGCATTATTGAGAGACATGTGGCAACCATTCATTGGACCTTGGACAAAAATAGTTTTATCCCTTCCAATGCAGCGTTGCCACGTCTCCTTGTAATGCTTCTTGTCCAATCTCTCTGTACAATGAGATTAATTTTGTTAAGAATCAAGGTACTTTTAACCTTCGTCTATAGCATTAAATCAAATTGAACCCCAAATTTTATTTTTTTATTATTATTTTTTTTTTTGTTTTTTTTTTTGGAGGGTGGCGTGGTGGGCTCTCAGGGTACCTTTCCTGGCTTTCCTGACGTGTTATTTTGGGAATGATAATTGAATGTTAGTTCTGGATTGCATCTGGTCTATAGTTGTTTCCAGCGGTTTTGTGCTTCATTCGAACTTCTCATCAGGTTCTACGTGATCTTAACGTTGAGAAAATTGTAATACCTGCAATATCCGAACTAAACAAAACATGGACAAAAAAATTTCATTTCATTCCCTTAGAAGAATCAAAGAGACGAGAAATGAACCATGAGTATGGTGGTGTTCCCGGGAACTGTAATGTTACAAAAGTCTCTACTGAAGCATCAGTCTGCTGAAGGACAAAGGGCTCCACCAGGTATTTTGCTTCTATTTACGTGTAGTACATGTTTGATATGTATTATTCGACAGGACTATTATGATATAGTGGACAATAATTTAGTTTATTTTTCACCATTAATGTTATCCAGCGCTATCCAATCCTCGTTTTATAGATAATGAGTCGACTGATGCTCCAACAGGGCATCAGAATATGCAAGAAGATCATAATGACGATATTGGTGGTGTAGCTGCACTTGATGTCCCCGTTTCCTCAGAGGCCAAAGTCCAAGGTCTCGATGAAGCTGCTGCTGTATCTGATTGTTCGAATGATGCATCCGACATCAAAATTGGGACAGTTGAAGAATCCCATAGCCATGAAAATGAAATTTGTCTCCATCATGTGACTAAAACCAATGACTACAATCCTTTAGCAAATTCAAAAACGCCTGCGAGTGATGCTCATGAGCTTGAGACAGACTTATCCATCGAGGAAATCATTAGTTGTTCAAATGGTATTATTCTCGACAGGAAACTTGTGAAATGTAACTAATGAAATACACATAGAAAGCGGAACTGATAAAAGAAGCAAGGAGAAGTTACTTTTATTGTTGATGAAGAGACGAGAAACAGGTAATGTTGTGAATATATACTTTGAATTTATTTTAAAAAGTGGAAAATAAAATAATGTTTTTTGCTTTGTCACAAAATATATTCTTTCTAAAATAAATCCATATGTAAAGAATAACTTCTTACAAAATGTTACCAGAATAGTCTCATAATGTGGGATCCACCATGAAAAAAAATTGCCTATCGTACTCACCCTACTATGTGTGTATTCTAGCAGCATTCTATGAAAACTTCTTCTGTACATCAAGCATGACTGTTCCTTCTAATGGGTTGTGCCAGTTGTACAGATTTTTGGTGCCCACCCTTTTGACATATCATTAAAAGAGCTTCAAAAAGTAGTTATATTAATTTATTACTCAAATGTCACAATGTGATTATTTAACACTTTGTTTACAAGTTATAATTTTACCAAAACAGCCTACTTATGAAAACTTAAATATTAAAAACCATTTGCTTATAAGTAAATATTTAAGGTGACAATTTTCACGAACATAAAACTACTTATAAATAAATTATAAGCTTGTATCATATAATATTGTTTAAATATTACACGGCTAGAGTGGTGCACCCTTGAAGAAAGCAAAACAAAAAACTCATCAAAGACTCAAAATGGAAGTGACGGTAGAAACTTGATAACAGAACCTAAAAGAAATGTGGTTGAAATAATAGAAAAAGGGTTCACTAAGGAGCCAGTCCCTGAAGAATTAACAGATGCACTTCCATTAGGTACATTTGCTCCGGATGAAGGTAACACCAAAGGCTTCTTGTGCCGGTGTGTCGTTGGAAAACCACCTGACTCAGGAGGTGAAGGTGAAGGAGCTGCTGCCGGAGCTGAAGCCAGAGCCGGAGCTGGAGCCGGAGCGAATAATGATTGTGGAAGCGTTGTAGGTGGAGGCACGAGGGGAGGAAATTGTTGTTGTCCTGTTAAGGCAATCAAGAATGTAAGAAAAGACATTATTAAGCATTTTGACATGGAATTAAAATGTTCAACAATATAGATCCGGCTTTTATGCTCAAACCGTTAAGTTAAGTACTATCATCTCTAAGAGACTCTAAGCCTATCTTAATTCTTATGAATTTCTATTGAGTCCTAGGATTCAAACTCAAGATCTCTACCTTATGAGAGATTTAAATCAACTATTGGTACCAAATGGACACAATTATAAAACACAAATTGACCTAATAATAGGTCAATCAACGACGGAGGGGACAAATGTGCATTATGTTTAGGCTCTATGGTGTGGAGTTGGGTACATAAATAGAACCACTTGATCGACATATTTACCTGGACATCTAGGTTGAAGAGATGTGGACAACCTACACATAGAAAATACAATAATTTAAGTAAACGACAGCCCGAAATATGCAAATCCGCTAATATATATATAGACACACACACAGGGTCGGCGAGCTAAATATTAATTTCGAACATACAAGTTGATGATGGTTCCGTTCACAAAGCCACCATAACTGCAAGAAGTCACTTTGCAACCTGCACTAGTATGTTGTGCGGTGACATTTCCGAGCATGAGATTACTCTTTTTGCATTGCATGCTCGAACAAGAAACTGCCAATGAAGTCGGCATGCAGTACAAACTGCATAAATTTTTATGCAGGAACGTGATTTAGTGACAACAGAAGCAAATGTATTGGAAGTGAGTTGAGATCTACTATATGATTTGCTGTCTACCCAATTAATTATGGACAAGTCATTTTAAATTAACATGTCATCAATTTGGTTGGTTAGTGTGAAGTTAATTAGGGTAAATTTGAGATGACGTGTTAACTTAAAAATCATGTGTCAATGAGCAATTGGATGGACAAAAAATTAGACAGCATATTTCAACTCATCAGGAGTTGGTGGATCACCTGCGACTTCCCGGCCCGCAACTGCACTGCACGCAATGACTAGCCGCTATAGCATAACTCCCATTAGGCACAAACAAGCCGTAATCCGAAGCATATCTTGGAAAGTTAGATGCACAAGCTGCAAATTTAGAGCCTTTAATTCAAGCTTTCAAAAAAAAAAGAAAAATGCCAATATCAACTGGTGTTAGAAAGACCAGAAGAGACGTATATTTGTTGCTACATGTACATGACGGTTGACACATATGGGAGTGTAACTTAAGGTGTAGAAAATAGGTGTACAAGTAGATTAATCCAAATATAACGCTCTAATAAAATTTCTGATATACAATATTAGATCATAATACAATATTCTCTAGTATCTAATACTATCTAATCCATATGACCAAACATGCTTGTCGTAGGAATTCAACTACAAGTAATTTAACTTTGCAAAAATTCAACTTGACGAATCGGATATACTATAAACACTAACATATCTACATGGGTCATGTAGGGTTAGCTGACACGCAAAAATCTCTTTATTTTTTTCACTCTTCCCCTATTAGCACCAGTTTTCTCCTTCAACTTTCTTCCTCTCAACGTGTCTGGAGCCTCAATTCTTCACCCAAGATTCAGTAGTTTTTTTTTTTTTTTTTTTTTTGGGTGTCAATTGATGATTAAATTTTTGTTATGGGCTTACTCAATTTTTTCCCCAAAATTTAGTTTTTTTTTTTTTTTTTTTTTTTTGGAGTCAATTGATGATTAAATTTTTGTTATGGGCTTAATGTTCTTATACTTTTCTGTTTTTATTAATTTTATTGAGGTATATGAGCATTCAAGTCGACTTAATTGTTAGAAAATTGGGTTGTCTTTGTTTTCTGCTCAATAAATTAGGTTCCTACTTTAAAACTGTTGTGCATTACAAGGTCTTCTCTATCTACATATAAATGTTGAATATGATCATCCATTAACAATTAAATTAGTAATGTAAATATATAATTTTGAGTCAATTGTGTTTTTGTTGAAGTATTTGTGCCAATGTCCAATTCTGATTTCAATCTCACTTCTAAGATAAGCAATGACTTGTGCTAACTTGGTGCATGGTTTCGAATTTTATAAAATATTGGAATTCATTGTCAGATTTTTGTTTTATAAAATTGGGACTTTGTCATTTGCTTGTTGAAATTGATTGTGTTTTCATGGTTGAAATTATTTTTTGGAATAGATTAGCATGTTTGGTTCAAAGTCAGGCAATCAATGTTAATCATATATTTCATGGGTTTCATGACTTTTCAACCACACATTTCAAAAACTTCTATCACAGTCTAGTAAAAAATCTAGGGCATGTTCGATAATGATTATGAAAATTGATTTTTTAACCGTTAAGAAAAAAAAGTGGGTCCTACCTGTGAGTAAAAAGGTCAAAAATGACAACTGAAATAATGAAATAACGATCAAAAAATTGATTTTTTGAGGTGAAAATTTGCTATCAAACGGGGGCGTAATTTAAATCCCCGCCAAACATTCACTTATCATTCATTTATTTATTGAATTTCACGTCAAAAAATTTTGAAAAAAATATTTTAAAGAAAAATCTCAATCTTCGAGTGAAGAGCAAAATATTAGTGAAACGAGTATTCAAGAGAAAAAGATGTTCCAAACAAATTCATAACTTAATTTTTTTTACCACGGTGAAAAATGCCATACTGCGCCACTAATAATAATCTAACCCAGCCAAAGTTAAGGGTCACTGTACCAGACAATGGAATAGCCAGAATATCACCCTCGTTAATCGCAGGGCTCCCCAATGCATTCACGTTCATAAGATCTGTCAAAGTAGTAATGTACCTGTTTAACACCAGTTTACTTGGCGTTAAGTGATAAAAGTTGATAAAATGTGAGGTTAAAAAGTTATAAATCTTATAAAATAAGTAGTTAAAATTAATTACAAACTATGAGTTAGATTCAATTTTAATCCTTGTCAAACATGAACTATATCCATATATAATAGAATTATGCTGAGTATATGTCACTCAACTTGATAGCCCACTCACATGAGTGGGTCCCACGATTATTTTAATTGTGGGGTCCATTTTTGTGATGTGAAAGGACTGTCAAAGATGATGTCAAAAACAGGTACAAGTGTGTCATATTTGTATATAATATGAATAAGATTTTGCTATTTGTACATCAAGTTTGTAGACTCCTCACAAGAGGGGGTCTCATAAGTTTTTTTAAATTTGTGCTGAGGTAAGATTTTGCTATTTGTACATCGAACTTGCAGACTCCTCACATGAGGGGGTCCCACAATTTTTTTTACATTTATGTTGATTGTACAATACTTATTACTGTACACTCATACACTCTTCTCACAATATGGGGTGCTCACAAATATAATATTTATGTGAATCCCCTCACATTGTGAGAGTACTGAGTACAAGAAACTTTATTTGTATTTTTTAATGGATGTGGACCCTCTTCTTTTGTGAGGAGGCTATACACCAGACTCTCTTTTGTGAGGAGGCTAAACACCAGAATGCTCGGTGTATAACCATCAAATTCCATATAAGTAACCCTTAGACATAGTAATTAACAGTACCTTGCAGCTAATTCCATGAGCGTATCTGTAGGTGCCACTACGTAAGACATATAAATAGTGGGCAAATCGTTGTCCTTGTTATCGAAACAAGTGCATGGGAGTGGGATATTGAGCTTCGTCCCAATATTCAACACAGAAGGATCCGACAGTGCGGCCTTGGGGTTCGCCTCTTTGATTTGGTCGGCCGACACAAGGCCACCGTAAATGACGGTGGAGATGGATGCCAAAGTGTCGGAAGGACGGGTTTTATAAACGGTGGACGATGACTTCCGAATGCCGTCGACGCAAGAACATGAAATGGGTATCTTGATAAAAAGTCCCTCCGGCAGGATGTGATTTTCAACGTCGGGGTAGGAGATGTCGATGGCATTGACAAGGAGGAGAGAAATAGGGTCGACCGAGAAAATGGCAGCGAGTTCGGAAACTTTGAGGTCGGTGTAGAGGGAATAGCCGACAAGGGCGCTGCAGGTGTTGTAGTTTGAGCAGGGTTCAATGGTGGATTTGGCGGTGGCAAAAGGCGGAAGGAAGGTGGCGAGGAGGAGGATTATGAGAATGGTGGGGCTGGGGGCCATTATTTTACGGCAGAGGGCAAAGTGTACATGAAAGATTGAAGGCAGAGGAAAGCCAGCAAAGGGAACAATGCTACACTTGACAAAGCAGAGTCTCTGTGATTTATCAGACAAAGAACGAATCAATTTCTTTTTCTTTTTCAAATTTTGCTTTTTTTTTCTTTCTTTTTCCTTTATAATTAATTTTTTTATATATATTTTTTTTTGGTTTATATATTTTTCATGTTATAAACCTATTAAATTTATGCTTAGTATAAAGACTAGAGTACCAAAAAAAAGTATTAAATGTTAGTACTTTGTTGTTCTAAAATTATAATGATAAATATTTAAACTATCGTAGTTAAAATTTCCTAAAATCTATTTTATCCTCCAAAAGATCAAAGATTACGGTGTGCAATATAGTATGTACAAGTAGAATTTTCCTATTATTAATAGCTAGATAGCTGAGAAACTGGATAGTTGAATGTCAAAAAAAAGAAAGTTAAACTTAAACACACAAATTTCCAGAAATTGTATGCCTTAGCAGTTAGCACTATCATATAGAAAAATTACTTTAAAAGTTGGGTTTTCTTCAAAATCTAGCCCTTGTTTGAGACTCATTCTTATAAAAAATGTATTTTTGAATAGTATATTGATGGAAAATGTGTGATTAAAAAATAAAGAAAATTTTTGGATTTGCGTTTAATATTATTTTAACGAAGAATATGTGGTTGAATATGATCAAATTACTGTTAAGGAATGTATTTTAATGAAAATAATGGGGGTCAAACAAAATAATTTATCCTTTTAGTTATATTTTTGGAAATAGTGAAGTAAAACTTGTAAAGGTATGATGTAATTTTGAGAGTACCCCATCAGTGCCTTAATCATCGTTTCCAGCTTCTTTTCAAGCAACAAACAGATTTCTTACTTTCGAGTTAGGGATGAAAGTGGGACAAGTCGTTTGTCGGCTTGATTCTTCTCATTTACAAGTCGAGCATACTCGGCTTTCACCCGAGCCAAGTTATGAACACGAGCCAAGAGAAAAAAAATTTGTGCAAGCCGTCGTCAGCTCGCACGATTTGGCTATCGAGCCGCTCATGTGTTTTTGTTTCCACTTGTTTATTTTGAAAAAAGAAAAAAAAAATGTACACAAAATTTTCATTTGTACAATTTTAACTCGACTTCCATGTTGTATTTAGTCACAAGTTCGAATAAAGGAAGGGGTTTTACAACATTAAAAGCTTTTGATGAAATATAAATTTTTACATTTAACATGTTTTTACAAATTTACGACTTCATTGTACTTCAGAAAGTAAAAGTATATTTTTCAATTAAAATTCAAAATATAAAAATTGGCGTGTAACATGCGGGATGCAAGTCTGCTCAACATAGCTCGCCCCACTAAGGGACGAGCTCATGCAACAAGTCAAGCCATACTTTGGTGAAGTGAGTCAACTCATGCTCATCTATGGGTGAGCTGAGCCCAACGGTAGGCTAGTCGAGCGACTAAACTAGATCCATTTAAGACCCCTATTTTGAGTATTGACCATATATAAAGTTAAGTTCAATATTTATTTATTCTAATTTTATCTTATGAAAGCTTTGAGCAAATAAAGATAAAAGAGAGTATTAACGAGATAACATTTTAAGCCAAATCTTTATATACTAGTCTTCCATAGTTCTTATAAGTAGAGTAATGTCATTAATCAACGCTGATATGTCATTTTAAATCTTATATTTTAAGATAATAAACGGATTGAAGCCATTTAGATGTCACGTCACTAGTCATGAATAAGCATTATTGATGAATAACATGTGATGCTTCTATTCGAAATATTTAATTAGTCAACAAAAAATCATTACTTTGAATACATTCATCGGCTATATGAAGTACAAAATGTAAGTTTCTTTATGTATTACCGTCATTTTGTATTTGCTATAATAATATCTCTTTCATTATTTATTTCAACTTTAGTTGAAAATTATATTTTATGAATATTAGGATTTGAATTAAATGTAAAGTCTAAAAAAATATAAAAGGTCTAAAAGTATTTAACAAGGATAAATGATAGTAATTGTTATAAGAAAACCCTTTAAAGAAAATTACAAATCTGATATTACACTTGCTGAAACTTTATAGAACTGTCACCGGACACCAAAGATGTTAATTGATTTAGGCTCAGATCCTTGTACCCTTCTGTATCATCATAAGAGGCCCTAACTCGAACCATAACCCTCACAAAGAACCAATATGGGGTTGCTTCAATGGACAATATTTTGGACTCTCATCACAGATTTCAGTCTACTCACATAGAGAAAACGCACAGATTTTATCTCACAAAGAGAGGAAGATCAACTCACTAAGAGGAGAAGAACAGATGAAGAACAAGAAACCAGAAGGTTCCAAAATCAGCGAAAGGAGAAAGAGGAATGAAAGTCTCACCAATTAGGGTTAGAAAACTTGTATTTATAGTAAAACAAAACAACCGTAGATATGAATCTTAATCCAACGGTCCAGAGCAACTCTCACACTATTGGGCTGAATTCAGGTCGCGGTAAGTTGGCCATCTCGGATAGTGTTATTGGGCAAGTTATTAGTGCAGCATTTGGGCCGAAGGCCAATATCATCATTGCCTAATAAATTGTTGGATCAAGACTGGCATCACAGCCCAACAATTCTCCACCTTGATGCCAGTGGTAATACAAGAAGCTAGTTAATACATTCTACAAATACTCATTAAAAAAAATGAAACACAAAAGCTTCCCAATATTGCCAGCAAGCACCAAGTATACAACCTTCAAACACCACAGAAATTACCCAGTATCAACATTTAATATTTGCAAAGTTTTAAACTTGTTTAAAGGTAATACCTTTGTCCCAATGTCTGCAGGATTAAATTCAGTAGCAATTTTCTCAAGGAACAAAAATTCTTTAGAGACAATATCTCTAATAAAATACAATTTTACATCAATGTTTTTAATTCTTTCATGATAAACTGGATTTTTACACAGGTGTATTGCACTCTGACTGTCTGGATATAGTACAACAGGGCTGCTCAATTCATTTATTTCAGAAAGTAAACCTTTAAGTCACAAGGCTTCTTTAATTGCTTCAGTAGCAGCCACATATTCTGCCTCAGTTGTAGGTAAAGCTACAACTGGTTGGTGTTGTGATTTCCAACATATTCAAGTTCCACACAAAGTAAACACATAAGCAGTGGTCGATTATCTGTTGTCCCTATTTCCAGCAAAGTCATAATCAACAAAACCCTTAAGAACCACACCCTTCTTGCAAGCACTAAAAGCTAAGCCTAAGTGTGATGAACCTTTCAAATACCTCAATAGCAATTTTAAAGCAACTCAATGTTCAGGTTCAGGATTAGCCATGAATCTGCTAAGTGTGCTAATGGAATAAGCCACATCAGGCCTAGTGCAAACCATGGTATACATGACTAATCCTACTGCATTGGCATAGAGTATCTTTTCCATTTGTTTAATCTCAGATTCACTTACTGGACATTGGTCCTTACTTAGTTTAAAATGGCTGGCTAAGTGGAGAGTAACAGATTTTGCATTATTTATTGCAAATCTAACTAACATTTTCTCAATATAACCCGTTTGTTTTAGGCATAATGTTCTATTACTCTTATTCCTGATTATTTCCATCCCCAAAATTCTTTTAGCATGGCCAAAGTCTTTTATTTCAAATTCTTTTTTTGAAGATCCTTTAATATTATTGACCACATGCATGTTCTACCCTATCAATAGCATATCATCAACATACAAGAGTATAAAAGCAATAATTTCATTTTCTTCACCATACTCAAAGTAAAGACAATGATCAAATTTACTTCTTGTAAAACCAACAGTAGATACGAAGTTATCAAATCGTAAATACCATTGTCTTGGAAATTGCTTTAAACCGTACGGGGATCTTTTTAACAAGAAAACATGTTCAGGTTTAGATTCATCAACAAAACCATGTGGTTATTTCATATATATCACTTCATCAAGGTCACCATGCAAAAAGGCCGTTTTTATATCCATTTGTTCGAGTTCAAGATTATAATGTGTCACAAGAGCAAGCATAACTCTAATAGTGGCGTATTTAACTACCGGGGAGAATATTTCATTATAATCTATGCCTTCTTTTTATATAAACTCCTTAGCTACAAGTCTAGCCTTAAATTTTATAGGCATTTCTCATCATTTCTCTCCTTATCAGTAAATATCCATTTACAGTCAACTATGGACTTACTTGCATGTTTAGGAACTAAGTTCCAAGTCTCATTTTTCATTAAGGAGTTCATTTCATCTTTCATAGCAGCTCGTCAGATTAAAGATTGTTGGCTATTTATAGCCTCTTCGTAAGATTTAGGTTCTTTAAAGACAAGATCTTGATAAGAGAGAACGGCAAGTGAAAGGTAATCCCTATTCCTAACAGGATCTCTTATCTCCCTTCTTATTATATCTCCACACAATTTATAATCACCTAATTCTATAGACTGGTTTTCTATGTTCTCTTGCAAACCTTCTTCATTTTCATGAAGATATGAAGCATTTTCTGCCTCTTCCTCCACCTGTTCACGTAGAACAGGTTCAGATGGAGCATCAACCTCCACCTGCAATCTGGATTTATTATTCTCTTCTTTTTCAGATTGGCCATTTAACTCAATGTCATTCAAACAAGGCATTTTTTATTCATAAAAAATAACATCTCTACTTGTGATTATTTTAAATCCCTTAGTTTCCTTACTCCACAGTCTATAGCCCCTTACCCCATCAGGATAGCCCAAGAAAACACATTTAATAACCCTGGGTTCTAACTTACCAACACTCTGATGAGAATAGGCTGTACACCTAAAAATTCTTAAATGTGAGTAATCAGGGACATGGCCAATCCATTGCTCTTCAGGTGTTTTATCACCTAGAACGCTTGAAGGTGTTCTATTCACAATGTATGAAGCTGTCATCAAAGCTTCACCCCATAGGACATTGGGAACACCAGAACTTATAAGCATACACCTCACTTTATCCAATAAAGTCCTGTTCATCCTCTCAGCAACTCCATTTTGC